GGTTCAAATTGGCATGGTTTTGCATAAAGGTCCGAACCGATTCGAATCGAGTTGTCAAATTTCCAATTTGAACCGACCCGGTTTGAATACAAAGCATCAAATAATTGATGTTAGTCATGTTTTACAACATTTATAGGGCTAAAAATATAATTCAATTTTTTTGGACATAACGAATACGCAACGGTCATGATCACACAATAAGAAACATCATATGAAAACACTCGTCAGCACAGTGAAGTCACCATAAAATTCTAGTGAACTTTGGCTACCAAACTCGACTCGATCTCGTTCAACTGCCGCTCCGATTTCTTCCGTCACTTAAGTCCCGAATCGGATCGTAATCCGACCGAAACCCGGCTCACACGCGTCCATTCGACACAACCCGAACTTCAACTTTTAAAAATGAGATTCGGCTCGCAAAAACCGAACCGGTTTCTTGATTTCTTCGGTTCTGTTTTTTGAACTCCATGTCGGTCAATTCCAAGAGGGTTTAAGAAACTTCTCCGGAGAGGTGGGGCTGGTGAATTGTAGAACATGTCTGCAGCTTCTTCAATGTTCTAAAAGCTTGTTCTTCTTTTTAGAGGGAGAGAGAATCCATGGCGAATGACGTTACAGGTTTTGTTGATTTCTGCATGTAACTTTCACGGAAGAGAAAACACGCAACCTCCTCCTCTTTCTGCATTTCTAGGGTGTCTGCATCCAACACACTGCAAACCTTACAGAGAAAACTACATACAAGCCCATGAACAAGTACGATGAGGATGTCCATTCTTTGACCTACTTAAGGTGCGCAACACAAGCTTTTGTTTCCTTTTTCCAAACCCATTATAATTGAATCTTTCTTAAGCAGAAAACTGGTCACCTTCTTTTCTTGAAATAAAAAAAAGAAAATGGCATTGCTGATATCAATCTATAATATCATGGTTAGGGCTTGACATCACTATATAGGCATGGAGCAAACCCTAGATCGATCTCTCTCGGCAGGCTACTTGGTGTTACATTTAATGTGCTACTAGATACATATATGTCATGGTTAGTCTATATATTAAAGTTGTCCTCTTCTATTCCCCTTTTTCCCCGTCACAGTACTAGATCTTATGCATGCGCAAGTGCGTGCGTCATGATAGTTTTCCTCTTTTCCGTTTCTGTAATTTCTTCGTGTCCATATACACTTGAAGGAGGGATCTGTGAAATTTCTTCGGGCCGCTGCCACCGTTTTGACAGTTTAAACTGTTAGAAGAAGAGGCACGGCTCAATATTTGAATACTTTGGCGCTCTACCTCACGTGCAGGTTGAACTTTGGCCTATATTGTAAGACGGGTTAAATAGAGAGGCCTGGCAAGATTTGAACTTGGAACCTACCACTGTAATTGTTCTTAAAATCAGCGATTGCGTCTGTATATCAAGATATGATGGTTACATTTTTAGCTTCATGCGGGGTTATAATAAGCACGAGATCTTGTAATGCGGAGAGCTGTCCTCATATAATTGCCCTAATACGCCAAGCCAAATAGTTCCAATTATGACAGCATAGAGACATGTCGGGAGGATCAGCCAAAGCAATTAAAATTAAAAAAAAAGAAAGCTGGATATTCTGCCCCCACAAAAAAAATATTATTTTAATATTTTGATAATTTGTTAGGGCAGACATATCACACTAGCACTCGTATGAGATCCTGCGCGGTGTTGTCGTCTCGCACGAAATCAATATGCCTGAAGACGACGAGTAAAAAAAATTATGCATTGAAAAATTTAAAACTTATCATGAAAGTATAATTATATTTTAAAACTTACATAAAATAATTAAATCTTAAAAATTATTCAATTTGGTATAATCAAACTTGGCTGACGCAAAATGTTAATGTGACTTTTTACAATATTTTCTTCCTCATATGCCGCGATGACATGACCAAAACACGAAATATAAGGTTAAACGATCTTGTTTTGGTCGACATCTGATTTTTAATACAAATTTTATCTAAATTGTATTTAAAAAATGAGCTACAATTATAAAAGTTAAAAATATGATAATCACTTGGTTAAGTTAATCACACGTTATTATAATCGAACGCTTCCCGAAATGTTTTTTTTTTTTTGCGCCTACGAAGCTTCTCAAAACGCGGGGTCGTGTCCCGCGACACGTGGCGGCGAGGTGGGGGGGCGGAAAACGACAATGCGTGGCAGGTGAGGCACCCTTGCTGCGACTTGGCTAGCGTTTTGAGGGCCTATTCATTTTTCTATTTATTCTCTCCATACATCATTTTTTCAGACTCTGGAGACTTTTTTGGTTGTTCTTTGTGAGCGTAAAAAACGTGGACTTTTGAGATGCCAAAAGGGCCCGACCCCGTTTGATCTCGGATCGACCCGATTACTCAGGGGGTGTGCATCGATTCCGATACAGCTCGGGAACCGGACCGGACCGGTTCATTTTGAGTTATTCCCACGATGAGTTGGTGCGATTCCTGGCTCCTAGAGATGAATCTTACCAACCAGGTGGAACCGACGACGATACAGGCCTTGATTATATATTTATTTTTTGATAGAAGAAATTTTATAAAAAAATAACACCACGGGTTTCCAGAAACAAAACCGAGGATGTCTGGTACGATCTGGTTTTGTTCCAGAGCGGATAGGGTCGGTTTCCGGTACCACAGGACGGGAACCAACCCTGTCCGAATTGGTTCCCCGTTCCAAATCGGATTGATTCCTCCCACCCTGAAATTTGATCATTCCTGAAACCGATTGCCCCAGATTCGATCATTCGTGATCGAGTCAATTGTTCGCGTAATCGATGCTTGGAAATCTTGGATTGTGTCGCACCAAATTACAGCAAAATGACGCAATAATTATCGACCAAATCTTGTGGAGCGGAGTCGATACGTGCTACTTCCCACTAACTTCTTGGCTCACCCTTGATTAAATTGGTGACGCAATAGTTGTCGACTCAATTTGGCTTATTTTATATAGATAGAGGGCCTTCGTTTCATTCCAAACGGCATCGCGTTTCGAAATTGCAAGGAAGCGCCACGTGGCACGTTGACCAGGCGCTGGCGCGTGATTTGGTTTGACCGAGTGGACGGTCCTCAATGAAGCGGGGCCAACCGTGCACCTAATCCCCAGCCCTACCCTAATCCTCCCTCGTTATTGGCTAAAACGACGCCGTCTTGCTTTTTGCCATCCCCGCCTTAGCTTTGACTTGGTCGATTACCTATTAATTGGCCAATTCTTGGGAACGAGATTTAAATTATTTTATTTTGTCACATAAACAATTGCACCATAGAATAAAATACCTTAGTGGACATATGTTTATCCGGAGGGTCGTGCCACGGGAGACGACCGGTGTGCTGACCGAACCGCAATGTCAACAATTTCCGATTTAAATCGGCCGGAAGGAATGCGCTGGCAAATCGTCATAATGTTTAGTATTAAATTGTCCAAATCGAAAATTTTAATGATTGAATTGACATCTGTACAATAGGTTCATGATTTTTCCTTTTTTTGATAATTATCTCGTTTATCCAGTGAATACCACGAAAAATTACATGTTACGGTCGGCATTTACACCGCCCTTTTCGTCGGAAATTAACGATGAGATCGCGATTCATCGAATGCTTAAGGCGATCGTGGTGTGCACATTTTTCTTCATGTCATCGCATGACCATTTTTTCATATACTTAGGACGAATTTTTCATTGTCCTTCGAATCGAAGGTTAGACGATGATGCATGAATAATTAAACCACTTTTTTGTTTTTCGTCACATGATGATTAAGCCACTTTGACTACGTGTGAACCTTGACTTTGTATCAACTCACTTGTTCAACGTACATTTGCCAGGTCCGTGCTTTCTTTAGCTAGTACACGCTTGTAGTACAAGCTCTGGAGACGAATTTTAGGGTTTTTGTTATCTATATCCGACATTTAGACAGGCACCTCGAATTTTCGAAATCCTAGGAATATTGGTATTTTGAGGTAATTCCATAATTTTCGAAGCGTTTTTCGAATTAATTATTAGATGGGTTTGGCTAGCAACCCAAAATGTCCGGTTTGAATCAGTACCCGCAACTGTTGGCAAATAATCTAGTTGGCGTCCAGTTAGTAATTCTAACAAAAATAGCGGTGTTGTGCCATATAAATGGAGCCCGCTCCTAAACATCCTTTTTTTTTTTTTGTAGTTTACGACACATTAAAACACAAGAAAAAGTCATTATTCTAGGAATGAATTTCCAGAGAGAGCAAGGCGGCCAAGGGGCCCGTGATTCGTCGCAAGAGATCAAGAAGTCGCCTTCATGAGGTAATCCTAGAAAAAAAAAATTAGTTTATTGTCGGAATCGAGACCGCGTAAACTTGGAGGTTAGAACCCGGTTCGGTTCTAGGCCGGTTTCATGGTCGACCAGTTCGGTTCCCGGTTCCCGGTTTCAATAACCAGGCACAAACTCTGACATGGTAGGTTCCGGATCTCTCTGGAGCATACTACCTTGAAACCGATCGCCTATGGTTTTGGTGACCTAAGAGAAAAGAAAAATTTCTCGGCGATTGCGTATACATGAACATATGTCAAATCCAACTCAAATCGGATTTATTTCCTATTTTTCATTGGTTATCAACCCAAAAAGAACTTTGCCCTGGCAGGATATGATCAGGTTTTTGGTGATGACTTTGTGTAGATCCTTTATGATCATTCTCGATTAGTACATATCATCTTCGCCCCTAATGAATCTTTCCTGTTTCAGGACACCCCACTAGGCTTACAAAGTCTGCTGTGAAAAACATAGCCTATCTTATGCTCTCTTTTCTATAGATCATGTCCATAGGTGTCGTACGTTGCTTATTGCTCTTTTCTTTCGGCTGTTCTTGTATGACTGAATCGCACCGCACAGTTGCTGACTCTGGTTCTTCATTGGAATCGTTCGTGTAGGTGAAGTTCGGGCAGGAGAGGAAGGTGTGAACAGAAAGATATAGGTGGTGGTTGTGGAGAAGTTCCGAGATTTTAAGAAGTCTTCCGCATAAAACCTCCCACAAATCTTTAAAAAACGAATATCGAAAGCGAGAGAGAAAGTTACTATAGGGAAGAGCCGCAACCACTCCCGCTTTTTAAGTTGGAAACATTCATCAAACAGGCCACCCATCAACCTAACCCCACCTTCTCCTTATAATAACCCCCCTACCTCGTCTGGTTTCATTGCATTGCACTTGCTCCATCCAGGAAACTGGCCACGAACCCATACCCAAGAACCATCTCTCAGGCTCCCACGATCGCAATACCCCCAGAGCTCTGGTTCTTGAAAGACCCCGCAATCTGACCAGCCATGGATAGGTTTCTCATGCAGGTTCTGGTTTGCACCACCTTGGTCGTGTCCATGATCGTGCTATCCTCTGCGCAGACGTGCTCCAACTATGCCTTCGCTGGCAACAAGATGTTCAGCTCCTGCACTGATCTGCCTTACCTGAACTCGTCCCTCCACTGGACTTACGACTCGTCGACCAACACGGCCCAGATAGCCTACAGGCACACCGCGGTGGACACGTCGAAGTGGGTGGCTTGGGCCATCAACCCGAACTCCACCGGCATGGTCGGGGCTCAGGCGCTTGTGGCGTACCAGCAATCTGATGGGACCATGAAGGCCTATACGTCTCCGATCAGTGGGTACCAGACCCAGTTGCAGGAGGGGGATCTGAGCTTTAATGTGTCTGATCTCTCTGCAACTTATGCGAGCAATGAGATCATCATCTTTGCCACCATAGTCCCCCCAGATAATGGCGCGGTGAACCAGGTTTGGCAAGAAGGCCCGCTCTCCGGCGGGTCCCCCAGCGCACATGCCACTACCGGTGCTAATGTTCAGTCCAAGGCTACTCTAAATTTCGCCTCTGGTCAGACTGGGACATCTGGGGGAGGCAACAATGAGACAGGAAAGGGGAATGTTAGTGACAGTAATGTAAGTGACGATCTTTCTTTTCTGTCTTTCTTCCTTCCTTGTTTTGTTTTTCACGTTGGTTTCACGTTATTCGAGTTTGCACATGCTATTTTGGTAAGTGTCGATCATCTATCTGATCTTGAAAGAAAAAAGAACATGTTTATTGATTTTCCATGATGCTGAGATCAATCAGCTTTTGAGCTCTGGTTCTTTCCCATTAAATATTCTTTTTTGGCCACGTGTTTCAGACATGCTCCAACTATGCCTTCTCCGGCAACAAGGTGTTCAGCTCCTGCACTACCCTGCCTTACCTGAGCTCGTTCCTCCACTGGACTTATGACTCATCGACCAACAAGGTCCAGATAGCCTACAGGCACACCTCCGTGGACACATCAAAGTGGGTGGCTTGGGCCATCAACCCGACCTCCACCGGCATGGTCGGGGCTCAGGCGCTTGTGGCGTACCAGCAATCTGATGGGACCATGAAGGCCTATACGTCTCCGATCAGTGGGTACCAGACCCAGTTGCAGGAGGGTGCTCTGAGCTTTAATGTGTCTGATCTCTCTGCAACTTATGCGAGCAATGAGATCATCATCTTTGCCACCATAATCCCCCCAAGCAATGGCGTGGTGAACCAGGTTTGGCAAGATGGCCCGCTATCCGGTGGGACCCCCACCGTACATGCCACTACCGGTGCTAATGTTCAGTCCATGGGGACTCTGAACTTTGCCTCTGGTCAGGCTGGGTCTTCTGGGGGTGGCAACTCAAAGATAAGAAAGAGGAATGTAAGTGACAGTCTTTCTTTCTTTCTTTCTTCCTTGTTTTGTTTTTCATATTGGTTTCGGGTTATTTGATTTTGCACATGCTATTTTGGTAGGTGCAGCTCATCTATCTGGTTTTGAAAGAAAAAAAGAACATGTCTATTGATTTTCCATGATGCTGCGATCAATCAGCTTTTGAGCTCTGCTTCTTTCTCTTTAAATATTCTTTTTTGGCGGCGTGGGTACACATTAGACGTGCCCTGTTTTAATATTACAAAGGGAAAAGAACAGGCTTAAAGAAAGAGGAAGAAGCAGGTCCCATGTAGATAAAGTTCTTGTGTTCTTTTGTGCGAAGAATTCGTTCTTTTTGAGCAGAAACTTTACTTGGTATCCCAGAATTCTTTGAATTACGATAGACTTGAAAATCTGGCATAGAACTTTCGACTGTAGGTGCACATTTTAAATGTTCTACACAGTCAGAACTGAACTTTTGTTCCCAAGGGATGTCTTTGATCAGAAGATTGAAAGTTTTCATATGACATTCCAAATCTTTGTGAAAGGCCTAACTGAGAACTTCATAATTTGAATCACTCTTCAATAGCAGTTGAAGTGGTGTACTATTTGCAACTTTATTCCTCTTATCTTTACTCATCAAGAAGCGCTTTAGTCCTAACCATCATGAACATGGAAAATTTCAGACACATGGAGTACTCAATGCTGTGAGCTGGGGGACTTTGATGCCTATTGGTGCCATCATAGCCAGATACTTGAAGGTGTCCAAAGCTGCGGACCCAGCATGGTTTTACCTCCATGTCGCATGCCAATCCTCGGCCTACATCGTCGGCGTTGCCGGATGGGCAACCGGTCTTAAACTTGGCAGCGAGTCGCCCGGCATAACTTACACCGCTCACAGGACAATCGGCATTGTCCTGTTCTGCCTTGGCACACTTCAGGTATCGAAAGAATTGTCAATTTGCGCGGTCATGTTTCGTGCTCACGTCATAACCTATGTGTTCTCATGCGTCAGTTCACCAAAAACATTTTTAGCAGAGCAGGGGAAAAATTCTTTCGATTTTCGTGTAAAACAGATGAAAACTTGTTTTTGGTATGTAATCTTAGAAGGGTTACACTGGAAGTGGAAACAGAACAATGCCATATATGTATGGATTCATCCATAAATATAGTGACATGACATAGGCAATGGAGATCGGAAGGAAGGAAAAGAAGTCAGCTGATATAACTTTTGACTTTCAGGTGTTTGCTTTGCTCCTAAGGCCCAAGAAGGACCACAAATACAGATTCTACTGGAACATCTACCATTACTCCATGGGTTACATGGTTATCGTCCTCAGCATCGTCAACATATTCAAGGGGTTCGACATCTTGGACCCCGAGAAGAAGTGGAAGGACGCTTACATTGGAGTGATCGTGGCCTTGGGTTGCGTCGCCGTGGTTTTGGAAGCGTTCACTTGGCAAGTGGTTTTGAAGCGGAGGAGGTCGCAAGGCGGATCGAAAATGCCCCCCGGCATGAATGGATCCAATGGTTACAATCACAACGGATACGGTGCAAGGCCACACCAGGAGGCGTAAAGAGTGAATTTATCAGATCGTGGCTGTGGGTCTCTTTGCCCTTCCTTTCATCTTTACTTTCTCTTCCTTTGTATGGGGTATAGGGTTCACAATGATGCATACTATGTAAATTCTATACACGATTTCATTCAGTTACATGTTATATGTTGTTGAGAGGAGTTTAGGACATAGCAGTAATTCTTTCATAGCTTTTCTTAGGAATGTATCCTCTGGATTTTGGCTTTCCCCAGGTTTCTTGGGACTTCGTACTTTCCGGTGTTATTACTGAATATCACTCCATGCCTTCTTTCTTTGTTTCTAATTCACATCTTCATCATCGACACTTTTGCGACGCGTTAATACTTGTGAACTCGAAAGTATGAATGGTTTCAAGCTGGATTGAATACGGGAAGGGATAACGAACGACACTTAGGAGTGTGCATTATACTTGAGCTCGAGCCCGAGCTCGATTTTTCCAAGCTCCAGCTCAATCATGTAAAGTAGTGCGATACGCTCAAACTCAACTCTGCAAAAGTTCAGCTTTAGCTTGAGTTAAGCTCAAATATGAGCTCCAGACAAAACTCATATCTGAACAGCTCCAACTAAATTATTTAGTTTCCCGTTCATTCAGTAAGTCCCGGTGAAAGCTACTAAATCAGAGAGGCATATGCCAAAGAAAAAAGTTTTAACTACGTGAACAACTAAATGGGGAGTGGATCAGTGATCTCCGCAATATACCCGAACGACGTATGCTCATCTCAACAACTCATTCATCAAATCTCCGATAGACCAATTTCCCAAATGCTATATTGTAATATGCTTAAGTTAGGGAGAAAATAAGGTCAAGAGGAACGTATCCTGAATCGCGATATCATCCTTTTAGCGGCCCCATTACTTGCAAATGGAGGCAATGAATATGGGAACCATGTGAGTTTAACACATTGAGAGAAGGCTTTCAAAAATAAACAAACTCTCAAGGGCCACAAGTCAAGTGGACTAATCATGCATACAATCAATATTAAAGAAACATGATTATGTTAACCCCTTGTGAAGGAATTTACCAGCAGAGAGCTTCGAGTTGTTCAGAAGAACAAGTAAACCAAAATTTCTATATCATAGTATCAAATAATTGAATCGAGCTCCTTTTAAATTTCACTCAACAGGTTGGTCCCATCTCATTCTGTTTGCTGCAAAACCTCCACGAACGCATCCTTGATGAGAGGGTTTGAAGCTGCAACCCGCTGAGATGTGATGTCAAAATCCTTACCAGATCTGATGCAAAACAACCACCACCAGTATCTCCACGTAAGCAAAATCTCTTTCACTAAACCTATGAAGGTTTTAAGATTTTGACATTGCAGTTCATAGATTATATGTAATAGCCCACAAATCATGTGGTCATAACCTTTTGTCCATAAAGCATCCGTTGATATAGTCCATAGAGTGAGTTAACCTTCTAGGATCTAAATTTGCAGCCACAAGTAATGATTGTTCCGTGCAGTCTCTTTCTTAGAACTCAAAGTTAAACATATAGGTGAGATTATGCCAACTTACGGATCATAAACAAGACCTCCAGCTTCTTTCACTATCACAGCTCCACCTGCCACGTCCCTGGGAAGAAGAGCAAGACACATTTAACTGTATTCTCCTTAGCAGTAGAATAGTACTTATACATTACTGCTACACCATAAAACCATACCAGGGACCTCCGAAGCCGGCTTCATAGAATAAATCAAGCCGTCCACATGCAATTCCACAGAGGTTCAATGCACAGGATCCACTCATGCGAACTGACCTCACCTGACCATATATTAAGAAAGAAAGTTGACATCAGGTGGTGGAGAAAACAGAACTCACCATGAACATATGCATGGCAACATCGGATTTACTTTGAAAAGTAGACTTTTGATTCTGTCAGTAGACGCATCCAACGTTGCCTTATCACGCTTGACACCAGCCTGCAGTTCCAGTAGGCAAAAAAAGTCGATTAGTCATTTATTTTTCTGCTTCACTCTTCTAGCTAACCAAATCTGCAATTTTTGAAGTACATCTAGTGCCCATTGCTTTAGGTGACTGCTACTTCTGAAAGTTTTATTCAGTGAACAGCATAAAGGCTCTTTGCAGTCTTAAAATAAAGCTCCTTGCTAGCAATTCTGGGTGGATCAACTATTTCCAGAGGAGGTGGACAAAAATTAAAATGAGTTCACACAATGCTGTTCAATCATTAGTTAAAAGGTTTGGCAGGTAGGAATGGGATAGTAGTGATGTTCATAAGGCCTGATAAGACTATGCCTCAATAGGGACACACACACACCCACACCCACACATGCACGTCTGCACGCATGTAGTTTCTCTAAGAAATGGAATCTGCTCTGCTTTCTTTGAGAGTGACATTCTGCCCCCTTATATATGTCGAACTCTTTCAAGGACCAGCTACAGCAAGTAACTCCACGATTTCGACAGAGTTTTGTAAGATAATATTCAACACGAAATAATGTAAAATGCGTTTAGTTAGATCTGGAATTTACTATTCTAAAATAATTGAGATTAAACTAGCAAAGTAAATCATTCAACTCGGATGTGAAAGTGCAAAAGCTCCTTAATTGAAGAATGTAACATGCAGTTAGTCTAATTTTCGACTCATACAGTGGCAAAATCAAGGTTGTCAAATTTGAATCAACCGAAGATATTTGCATTTAAGGAAGAAAGTCTTTCATGAAATCCGTGTTCAGTTTTGAATTATGAATAAAAGTTATGTTACTTTCTAAGAAAATTCCTCATGTTCAATCACCGTCAAAGATTAGAAAGGTCCTTAAGGTATCTTTGCTGCGGGATGATCATCCTGTGACTCACAACAAATATGTTACTCTTTCATGCGGACAAGTAAGATTGTTTACTCCTTTGGTATTATGTCAAGGACTTGGTAACATTGGAGCTCATGGAATACGAAATCATGGTAGAGTGCCTAAGGCATAATAGGACAAATGTATTTTATGACCTATCCAGAAAGCCATCGTCCAACCATAGTAGATATTCAAAAGTCCAAGTTCACCACATCACTTTTGGCAGAGTGAAACAGGGAAGCAAGCCAAATTTGATATATATCCAACTCGGATATAATATAAATGTTGGACTGACCAATTGTCCCTTCAATCATCTTTTATTCTTTCAAATTCAAATATAGGAGTACTTATTTATCACTAGAGTGAACCTGTATTATCCTCATCAATGCCGTAAACTAGGAGGAAAGAGATCAGACTTAAATTCATATAACAGTCAGGTTAAAAGATAGTATTTCGCATCACCAAACCATCAATCCTATGCAAAATTTGCATACCTCAGTCGCAAGTAGGCACTTCACAAGATCCGATTGAGATGACACTGGCAAGTAAAAGATGATTTAACGACCTACTCAGGGATTAAGGAATTTCCAATAGAGATTTGATAGAAGTGAAATCACCTTTGATGGGGTTTCCATTCAGAAAAGCACCTTTCCCTTGAACACCAGTGAAAAGCTACAATCGGAAGCCAAAGTAGTACATCTGTTAAGCACTAAAATGCATCCAAAGAAAGAGCAGAAGTAGTTCAGCAGACACCAAAAGAGGGTCACGGGATTCCAAGCCAATGATCTTTACTGAACAGCCACAATGAATTGATGGCGTTGTATTGCATGTGACCCTTCAGGAAATATATTGCATACTATCTTCTTAAGTGTATTCGCATTATATTCAGTTATGTGGGGCATGAGAATGCTCACCTCCTCCATAATTGGATTATATACTACGCCAACTGTAGGAACTTTTCCAATCGTAAGCCCAATAGAAATGCAAACGAAGGGGAATCTACAAGTATCACATTAAGCATTACACAATTACAAGATATGTTATTCCAAGAGATGACGATGATGAATGAATCAAATGAGAAACGAGAATATCCAGGAGGTTGATCTTCACCCGTGAACAAAGTTGGTTGTTCCATCAAGAGGATCCACAATCCATGTCGGTTCATCAGTCAGCTCTGAGGTCCCACAAGCAGCAGTAGTTTCTTCGCCGATGAACTGTAAGCGACAATAACAGAATGAAGTCAAGAAACTAATCCGACTTTAAGCTGACGAGAAGCCCTTTAAATGGTATCTCCACAGATCAATATGATAGCAAAGAAAAAGAAGCGAGCATCGACCTTGTGTGTGGGATAGCGCTGCTTGAGATGGTTAAATATGAGATCTTCACACGCCTTATCAGTTTCAGTGACTAAATCCACCTGTGAATCAAACCAGATGAGTAAATTAGCCACAAAATGAAGAAGCTACACGACTTCTCTTCATTCACAACTGATGTTCATATTCTTCCCGCGATAGTTGGGAGGCTCCCATCTGACTACACAACAATATAAAAAGTATACACTGCAAAAGAAGAAATTTCTGACTAGTGTACAAGAACTAAAGTTGACAACTTCCTTTTCCTTTATAATTGTCAGCCTATAACTATGAAGACATTCTAGTCCATAGAACTCCCTGCAATTGCTGACACCGCTTTCGCAGCATACCCGTCACGTGAACACGAAATTCAACAATGCCACCGTCATGGTTACCCACAAACCATCAAGCATATCCATAATTCACTCAATAACAGGAATCGAAGCAATCGCAGGGCGAGCGAGCGAGCGAAAGAAAGAGAGAGAGAGAGAGAACCTGGCCTTTGTGCTCGACATGCTTGGTCTCGTAAAACCCTTTGCGAATAACCTACAAAACTCCCCAAAGAACCCACAAACGTCAACGTCTTGACGAAACTCGAGCAGCGCGATCAAAAACGAAAAGCACCCAACACGCGAAAAGAAACGCATTTCGGAATCGAACGGCGACCCACCTCGCCAGCTCCCCGCGCGGCCTCAACGGCAGCCGCCAAGTAGTCCGACAGCAAATCTGGGGATTCCCAAGACACATCGGAGAGACCCAACATTAGCACAACGCGACCAAGAAACGCTAATCAAAGATTCAAGAAACGAACTGGGAAGAGCGACCGAGATTGCACGGGGGCCACCATACCATTTCCGGCCATGTCTTCTGCCCCAATGGCGCAAGGAGAGGAAGGAGAGAGAGAGAGAGAGAGAGAGATAGCTGTAGAGAGAGGTTAGAGAGAGAAAAGAGGGAACGACAGTGGCGAGGAGAGTGTTTGGGAGCGAGCGCTTTTTCAATGAACGGAGGAAGAAGGAAGACAGGACAACCATGGACAGTTATGCCCCTACTTTTCCTCTGCTTCACTGTTTCTTTAGTTAATAATAATAATAAAAAATTAAACTATTTATATCGGTTTTATTAAGTTATATAGTGAATTATTATCGAATTTTACGCGTTTATATATATAAATATATAATATTTTTATAATGTTAGTGATATTAGAACTGGCTTATAATGATCGAGTTATTAAGTTATGTAGTAAATTGTGATCGAGTTTTGCTCGCTTGATTAAATCGTTCGTTCCGAACACGTAACACCATTTTTTCTGTGAAACTAATCAAAAAATCCATATCCAGTATTTGGCGATAAGAAAGATATCGCGATTTGCAGTGTCAATTTTGCACAGCAAATGCCATTTGACTAGTAAGTGGCGATGGCCTCGTCTTCGACTATTGTTTTTAATAACATTAGATGGTTAGCTGAATTTTTTCTTTTTTTTTTGCAGCCAAATATATAGAGACTCGTGTGTCATCAGTCGATTATTTTTTCCACACCGTGTTCGATTTGAAACACCTTATATTGTCGTGGATGTCTCGTTATATCCGATATTATGTACTCATTGAGCAAATCGTTAATCGATTTAGGCGCGAAAAATCTCGGGTCTTAGGCCATTAGAGCAATAATTAATAAATCGAGGCGAAAATTATTTAAAAGAAAAAAAGGGGAAAGCATGAATGTGACCGATATGTCCTTAATAATTAAAAAAAAAAATGGGAAGCAAAGTGCCGGAATAATCCGGAAAGGAACAGAGCATGCCAACATCAGTTTTTTCCAATCTGAAAAGATACGAAAATGCGTGGGAGGAATATGCCATCTGGTCGGGAGCATCATTCGGGTTCCCGGATTCGGATTCGGATTCTGACCGCCACCCTATTCGGAGCACCAGACACTGAAAAGATGGAAGCCTTTTTTTTTTGGTTCAGGAGTTTCACGCAAGAAGAGGACGATAGCGATGCTCTGTTTTTGGGAATCTGGGAAGGTTCGAGGGGACCATGATGCAGCTTCCTCTGCTGCGGACAATCTCCAGGAAACGGGGATTAGTATCATGAAGACGGGAGTGATCAGAGACGAATCCCGCCGCCGCCAGATTTGGCGATCCGAATTGAGTTTAGGGCACGCATGTGGCACGCTTGTTTCACGTGAAGTGAAGGGGAAATATTTTCTATGAGAATTAGTTTCGAAAGAAGCGGTGAGTTTTCATTTGTTTTGTTATATTATGTCTCGAATTTAAGCTGGTTATGAAATCCTATCTGGTTTGATGAAAAGAGATTCAAGAAAGGAAACTTGTATCACGGTTGAAACACAAGGGAAAAGAAGAAAACGAAAATTTAATGACATTTAGGACGATCGGTGATACTTTGGGACCAATGACCAATCCATACAATGCAGGTTGGACCGGCCCAATTCCCCGGAGAACCAGCCCAATTCCCCGGAGAACCAGATCAGGATTGGCCGGGTTGGGCCGGTCCAAGGTTGACCCTGCACCGATGCTCACCCCTAGTATATATGTACTAGCTTCATGGAATACTAGCAAACTTGGCCACTTAAAAAGCCTAGTTGGAGCTCGACAAGAAAACTCCACCCCGTCATCCAAATTTCCATTAAGATAGGTTGCAAGGACCGTAAGTCGCGGCAATCGCAAGAGCTGGGGTTCTACAGTAACGAGCTTTTGAGCCTCAAACCAGCCGGCCTCGCCACACTTTCCGATTATAACAAAGCGAGGGTAGAAAATGGAGAAAGAAAAATCGATTGCTAAGAATATCATGCGCGAAAAAAAGCACCGGGCAAATCAAATATACAGACGTGTCTTACACAAATTGCTCCGCTGATTGATTAGGTTACAAAATTTGCATTCTGGTAAAAAAATAATTTACTCGAAGGACGGGGCGGGCGAGATACTGGAACTTTTACTTTACAGAGGATGAAGAGCCTCTCATAATTCACAGCTATATAATTGCGAGGACAACGGCGATCCTTATGGACATAAGATACAAAACCGGCTTGTTCATGCACTTTCCTTCGGTTCGAGCGCTGCTATTTCTTTGACTACTTGAGCTTTATCTGCCTCAAACTGTTCATCCGCTGCAACAAAAGGAACTAAACGTGTTACTCAAGTCCACAGTCGCTACCAACATGAATTTCCGAAAGAGAAGTAACTTTATCGTACCTTTATCAAACTTAAAGTCCGCAAACAAGCGGAGAAGCTTGCTTCTGTTTGCAATGAGTATGCCGACGATGTCAGGAGGTTTATTTTGATTGGCAGCAAAGAGCTGCAGAAGTTAAAAGTGTCGAGAATAAGAAAACTGTTGCAGCAACAATGTAGATTCACATTCTTAGCAGCCCCCGGAAAAAAATACCTTGAACACATGGAATGCTTCTATCTGGATGCTCTTACTTGACTCCTGCAGAAGGGTAGCAGTTAATGCAGTAAATTCAGTTCACATGGTCATGAACGCAGAAGCATGAAACCCTTAAAATTTACAATCCAAAAAATTAAACTTTGTTCATCTTAAATCCATGATTTCATAGTCTATAAGATCAGGGTTAAAGACTAAGTGGATATCATTATGTCCGCTGAGATTCAGATTAATTTCAGAGAGTAGAAAGACAAACTATCAACTGTTATAGATAAACAATTACCCTGAGAAGATTCATGAGAATCCTCAAATTATCCCTCGAACTCACATAACGCATCATCACTGCTGAATTTGAACGATCAAGCAGCATATCTCCCAGAAGCTGTCACAAAGGAGAACAAAAGCCAGAATAAAACTAGGGTCCACCATAATCACAGAATCCGATGATGCAAGGACCTATAATGGCAACTCCATTGCAATGCATACAAAGAAAACTCTAGGAACCAGATTTTTTCGAAATCTCTACCCCTGTTTCCATTAGGTTCACATTTCAAATCAAAAGGAACTTAGTGATTCTACAGTGTCTCCAACATGCTATCTCTGGATCGAAAACATGTACTGTTCTTGGTTCTCTAGAATTTCTCAAAGAAAGGACGTTCTCCAGGGGATAAAAAAGACTGGTGGGAATTATATCCGCAGTCTACTTTGCTCTTTCAGAGTATAAGCTTGCAAAAGCCATTATGTAGATGCTTTACCTTCACAGCTTGTCGCCTGGTGATGTAATTGGTCGACTCCAACAGCTTTGAGTTATACTCTTCAAAGAACTACCCACAGAAATGAAGGTGAATCAATCACTTCAAATGTTCTAATATCAAGGACTCTAAAATTGCAAAAGTATACAATTAGGTGAGACTTGTGAAAGCAACCATAAAGAAACAACAAGCAAATATTTGTTCAGCCAAATAAAAACAAAAAGAAAGGATTGCACAAATAGATTAAATTAATCATGTAGACAAGAAATTGGACGATAAGAAGTAGAATTCAGAAGTTGATTACTCCCCCAACCAAGTCCCAATGTGGCAGTTTTAAAATTTTCAAGGACCCAGAACAATGTAAACTTTCATTGTGTGATTATTCCTGTGGGCTGTTGAGTACAACTACATCCAATAATGTGGAAAAATAGTTATCTGGTGTTCGTGTGCTCATGCACATGCCAAACTCAAAGAACATCTTGGCCATAGAAAAACTGCTTACCCAGTCATAATTCCTGTTAAGAAAGTCAGCTACAGTAGATTTATGCCTCGTCAAAAGTTCCTGCAACCAAATGTAGATAGTGTCAGGTACACACCAATGCATATGTACTAATCAAACATAAATGACCGAAAATCATTTGTTCTTTTTCCTGTTTGGTAAGTTGCAAAAACAGATTAGCATCTTCATCAACTGTGTATACTGACAATTTTGTTGACAGACTATACACGGCAAAGATAAGCCACAGCCGTAGGACTCCCATAAGTAATATTTTGGGCAGATGGTGGGGTCCAAAGGTTGTGGCGTCGAGCCTTCAATGGAGTAATCATGTAAATAGAAAGCCTATATGCAGAGCATATCACAGAACCAAGACAATGTCTAGGCTACCAAGAGTTAAAGAAAAAACCAAATTAACTTAACTTCCATCTCTCTCAGGAGAATCCCCTGCTCAGAAAACCAATCTTACCAACTGAATAACATCCAGTTAGATGTATGACTTCTACCGAAAACAATTACATGGTCACAATGTGAAGTGAGTATCTATTTTCAGAGGAAAGGCATTTCCAGTTTAATAGAAGACGACTTTTTTTCTTGATAGAAGAGGTATTGACTACTTTCAAAAGAAAAACAAATACATGAAAGGCTGCAGTCTTCAAGTTGAAAGAAAACCAAACATTTGAATCAATTGCACTATAACTTTTCGTTTAAATTACCGCAGCATGAAGGAGAATTGAAATGCCACTAAAAGAAGTAGCCCATTATTACAAGAACCAGATAACCCAGATGTTAAAAAGTTTCCTAAGAAAAGTCACATTCAAATTCCACACCATGGTCAAAGGCCATAAACAACAGAGCAATTCCTATAACCAACAAAATCTCTCCAATAACAGGCTAATGTTTGCTAATATTAGGTGAGCATGCAGGGCTAATGTGTGCAAGAAAGTGTTTGTACTTGACCTTAAAAGTTGCAGCGGCATCTGCAGCAATGTCAAAATTTGGGAGTTGAATGTAATCGAAAAACTTCTTCATGTGCTGTGATTCCAACACATACCTACACATTAAGTATATAACATCAAATTATTACCAAAACCATGCAAAGCAAACTGTACATCAAAATTTAATTCGACATCTAATAATATCTCAAACGTAATTTCCCGGGAGTTCCGTGATGCCACACATTGATGAATCATGAATGTTTTGTGGCATCCAAATTTCTTGACAAACTGGGTAAAAAGTCTTATGCTTGATACCCTGATACAGTACTTATGATTTCATTTTCATGTGAACTTCTTCAGTACAAATACTTATCCTTAGTCCTAAATTATACAGTGATATAGTAAACAGTAATGATGTTAAAAGGTCCTTGGAAAAGCAAAAATGTCAATAACACAAGTATACATACACATAGTCAATGATGCAAAAGGTTTCCTAGGATATACAGAAATATTTATATAACGTTAGATACTCATTTAAATGATAATACTAGCAATTGAATTAGCAATATCATATGCACAGAGTAAACATTATTTTTAAAATGCTCAATCTTAAAAGCACAAGTCTTGCAGTGTTACATTGACAGATATGTCAGCACAACTTTTCCCCTAGTGTTGGCTTTTAGTTTAATAAGTATATAACTATGTTGCTATCTGAATTAGAAGAAACAACACAAGAGTATAGTAGTGACAAAATTAAGAATATCAAAAGTACCTGAATCCGCTAATATGCAACAAAAAGTGGCCATTTAGCTTAAAAAGAAAATAAGCAGAGAGAGAGAGAGAGAGAGATTAGGAACACATATTGTTATTTGCAAATTTCTTGAGAGAGCTACAGTACCACATTAGAGTAATGCAACAACCTGATGCTATATTTTACTTCATGGGAAATCAGAACAAGCAAATTAAATCACAAAGAAGAAGAAGAAGAAGAAGAAGAAGAAGAATAGTCCTGGTTTATTATCTCACTTTGCAACAACCTGATGCCGTATGCACTCCCTCAGCATTGCCCCATAGTGTAAAGCCATCTCCGTGTTCTGATAACTACAAGAGACAACATAAGCCTAGTTATAAGATGCAAATGAGTACAGCATCAAATTGAGAGGATTGAAAAACAACAAAATCACGACATGCGATCATCTAAACATATTAATGCTTGCAATTTGCTCGACTGGCGGAACAAAAGATATGCCCCATCCATTGAAAAACTACAGGAAGTACCAACCAGTACGATTTAGCAAGAAAACTGAAACCAGCTTCAAAATATTTAATTTACCAAGAAACTGATAGGAGAAAGTAAGAGACCAATCCTCTATATCTAACAGATAATTTTTCTTATGGGTTTCTATACAATTTTCTTTTGGGTTTCTCCAATGGTTAAACAAGGCAGTGGAGGTGATTGATGAACAATAACCCCAGTGGGAAAAGGTGGACTCTATTAACCAGGCCAATCTTGGGTGTCTCTCCTCCAATTGTTCTTGCACTAAAGATGCTAGTAAACAAAAGAAATTGCAGCAAAAGCAAACCAGTAACTTCAAATAGAATTTCATTCTTTGAGTTGCTTAATAAACAACATCCTCTTACAATGCAATCAGCAAATCTTAAACCTTTATTAAATAGAATGACGAATAAAAATACAAGAAACAGAAAAGGAAAGACCAAGAGTAAAATATGAAACAGGGGGGAGATCAAAATCTAAGCAGGGAATTCTATAGGGTCTTGACACAAAGTCATAAGCTCTGATTCACACCATATAGTATAAACGGCCACTTACCCTTCCATCAAAATATCCATAAGATCGAGATTTGCTTCAAGGTAATCTGACGAAATCAAACGGGAATAAACTTGTTGCCTCTGTAAGTTTGCAACAACTTGAGTAGCATCTTTACGAGCCTGAAAAAAAGGTAGATACTTATCAATAGAACACACAGAAAGGCCACCCCAAGATTGTCTTAGTAATCACTTAAGAAGGTAGAAAAAAAATTCTCTCATGTAACCAGCCAATTGAAAGGGGAGACTCTCGGATAAGCTAACCTCTAAGTTCAATTTCGGAAGACAAATTATTATAAGTCTCAGAGTGTTCTCTCTGAAAAATTCCTGAGTCAACTGTGCACAAGCTTCCGCTACCGGCTCAGCTTCACTACTCCCATAGAGAATTGACTTCAACTCCCTTATATTTTTATACAAATCTGCCATCTGCATCAAGAAAAACAAAAGCGCGATCAATTTCTCTTCGACTGACTGCAAAGATCATTGCACAACTCTGGCTTATATAATCAAATGCCGGATCAAAGAACTATTTACAAACTAAAACCCACATGGTAATCAAATAACCCAGCAATGACGAGATTCTTCAGCCAATCCATGAGGAATTCCCTCAGAAGAAGAACCCTTAAATAGTCGAGCACTTAATGAAGCTGTATCAGCTCAAAGCGCCAAACTTTAGATGAAAACCGGTAGTAAACTTCTACTCCGAAGATACTGCAGCAAATTTAAAAAATTCAACTCTTTTTCCTCCATTGGAAAAAAAACCAATCACCAGCCGAACAAAACCTAATTCCAGCTTCTTCAATTCAATCATTAAATCCACGAAACAACAACACCCGAACAACGGACAACTTCATGCACAAAAAGAAAAGAAAGGACAAATCGAAATAAAAAAAAACCGAATCGGACCTTCTCGTCGCGCTTGCTCTCGCGCGCATCGCCGTTGAGATCGGCGAAGATGAGGAGATCGCGCGTCTGCCTGACCACGTCCACCGGGGTCCGCGGCTTCGACTTGAAAAGCCCCTTCATCGTCCGAGTTCCGGATTCGGGCGATCTCCCGGCGGGGAGGGGTAGGGGGTCCTCCGCCAATACCAGACGCGGCTCGCCGCCGACAACCTCGGCTCGATCGAACGGACGGACCCCGATGGGGGAAGGGGGGGCCAAACCGCGGGGACTCACCGGCCCTCGCTCCCTCCCGCGCAATCCTCCATGGAGTAACGCTCCGCCACCAACGCCGCCGCCGCCGCCGCCGCCGCCTGCTGCTGATGCCCGCCTAGGGTTTCCCGCTCCAGCGCCTGGATTTGACGAAGAACAGATCGGGCATGGCGAGGGAGGAATTCTAGAGAGAGAGAGAGAGAGAGAGCGCGCGAAGGAGAGAGAGAGAGAACGTGATCTTCTTCGTCTCCTTCTTCTTCTGATTTTTTTACATGCAGCTCGTTTGTGTTTTTTCTTTTCTTTTCCTTTTTTAATTTAATTTAATTTATTTTTCCACTCTCTGTTTTTTTATTTTATTTTTAATTTAATTTCGTGCGGAGTTTTATTATCAAAGGACGTGGCGGAAGATCCGACGGCTGTCAGGTCGTGCCGGTCACGGGCGGGGGGAAACAGCGGGCCAGGCCGCGCCCGGGGAGCGATGCGGTGGCCGCGGGTGCACGGTAGCCGATCGGCGGAGTCCAATGGGATCTCGAGTCTTTCCTTCGTGTCGTTGTTACACTTGTCGCTCTCCCTTCCCCTGCCGTCTCTTTCATCATGTTATTTATCCTAATATTAAATCCTTTTGCATTATTAGTCATTTGAATTAAAGAAGTCTCGTACCTCTCTACATCAACCATAAGATTTTTACATTAGTATATACATACCTTGATGTGATCTTTGTGCTCAAATGTTTACATACGACCTTTTTTTTTTTTTTTTTAAATCTGTGGAACAATCTATTGGACAGCGAGGATTACGTCTGATTATGGAGGAGATTATGAACATTCTTGCCTGACTTTGAATCTATTTGATCGGGTTTATCAAAGTCGTGATCTTGTGAGTTCAACGTGCGACTCTTCACGGCGATGGAGGCCACAACTTCAATGGAGGGTGGGCGAAATTTATCGATCCTGTCACGACTGACGAGCTCGATACTTTTATGAAAGTTCGAGGGGGGGGGGGGGGGGGGAGGCGAGGGAGTAGATTAGGGTTTGGGTAAGGGGATTTCTTTAGAGGTGGTCAAATGCAAACTAAATTGGACGCATGTTGCGATCTCATGACCAGTAAAGGCCATTATAGTAAAAGTTATTTTTGATGATCGTTATACCCCATATGGACAACTTAGATATTTCTCTAAGTTTCAATAATGGTCATTAAATCTTTTAGTAAATTTTACAATTAGAATAATGAAATTTGATTTTAATTACTCAATGCACCAAATTTCACATTTTTCCACAATAGGATTTCAACCGAAATTCGATGAGCTTTCTTGAAAATCACCGAGGTGGACGTTAAGTGGTAATGATATGGAAATCATAAAGTTGACCACATCTCCTCCATGTTAGCATTTAATCAATGAATCGATCAATTATGGCCAAAGGAACCAATTACAACACACTAAAGTCCTAGTACCTTGGATAATTGAAATTAAAGTTTAGTGACTCGATTGCATGCCGAAATTTAGCAATCAAGACTGGCATTGACCCTAAAATGTTCTGTGCACATTAAAAAATTATTTTTACATTTTTTTTGGAACCCATATGTAATACGCGTCAAGAAAGACTAAACTACAATATCGTAACGATATCGTCAGATGATAAAGGTGCGTCCATCACATCATATATGTTCGTGCACCATAACAATTGATTGCAAAAGCATGCACATTGCTTTTCTTGTAACCTATTAGAGTTATTTTACAAGCAAGAAATAACCATTGGAGTTGATCTTTGGACAACCCACTTTCTCCTAAAAGAGAAATAAGAAAGAAAGAAGGAAAGAACACTTTTACGGGTGAATTGTGTATTTGTTTAAGTCTCCATTTGTTTCGTGAAAATGAATTATTTGGAAAACATATTCCTAAAAACGATCCTTTTTATCGCTTACAAACAAAAAATATTTTCATCGTCCGCAAAAATATTTAGACTTATATTGTTGTCGATAATGAAAAATATTTTTATCAACTAATTTTTCAAGCGTACAATCGATTATTTTTCGAAAAATATTTCCAAATCGTTTATTTTCTAAGAAACAAGCGGAGCTTTAGTTGGTTATAGAATTTCTATTTATTAGCTTATAAGGAGTTTGAAGTTAGAACCTTAGAGTATAATTCTCTTTCGCCTAATAGTCTACACTTTTTGCGTTCCAAACTTACAATAAAGTACCTTTCAAAGATGTACACATCGAGAATTTTTATCCGTATACACATTTTATGTAGAATTGAATCATCGGATGTGTCCCGGATGTATGTCAAGTGTAGTTTGAACTTTATTTTATAACATAGAATCGAAAATTTCGAATTCAAAAGGCCATAAATCATGTACAAAGATAGTATAAATAAAAATCTTTTTTCCATTACAGAGTCTATAAACGTTCGTGCTTTAATTGAAATGGCCTTTGGAGGAACCAGGAATCAGCTACTTTTCAATTAATAGACACAACAAGTTGATTTGCTCCCATCCCTTTCTATACAAAAAAAATCTTTATAACCACATATCCAACTTTTAGTCAACTTTTGCATTTATATCCAATCGACCTTTGGGCTCACCTTCTTTCCAACAACACTCTCACATGCCTTCACCACTCATTTAATGCAGTGCCTGCCCCACAATCTAGGGTTTCATGTTTTTGAACTATCTTGAAGAACAAAAATACTAAGAACTTAAAGAAGTCTTTTCAGGAGCAAGGAGGCGGGATTCCCTGAAAACCTCTACCTTTAGGTCTAATTTCAATTTTGTTAATAACTTTTTTTTTGTCTGAAAAAATTTCAAACTGTCACTCTAATCCCAACCTGCCTAAATGTCTAAAAATCGTCACTGATTTTTTCAAGATTATCAATATTATGAGACTGCTGTTATTCTATACAAAGGCGATGGTGTTGATGAAGATGCATGTTGTGACGATATACCTCTAACTGACCCTGATAAGAATAGTTTTAAAGAAACCAGTAGGCTTAATTCCAAGAAAAAAACACAAACTTTATCTTGAGTGACAATTATGACTCATAAAAAAATCACAAACTTTCACTTAAATCTCAAATCTGGCTTGAACAATTTGAAAATTTAATGTCACGGGGCTAGATTTGGGACTCGAGTAAAAGTTGATATTTTTTTTTTAAAGAAAAAGGTCAGGCCAGAATTATCACTCAAAGTAAAGTTGGTGTTTTTTTTTTGGAATTAGCCAGAAACTAGTGGCAATTTTTGGACGTGTGGGTAGATTTGGGTTTAAAGTAAAAGTTGTGATTTTTTGAAAGACAAAAAAATTTCGAGATAAAATTGAACCTAATGTTGAGGTTTTTTAAGGGAGTTAGCCAGAGTAACGATTGTAATAAGAATTTTTGCTAACACATAGTATACCCAATGATATGGTAACTGGATGTTCAGGTAAGAGCAAAACCTATATACAAAAAGGCGATATCCAATATAATCTTGCCAAATCATTGAGACCCCCTTTGTTTCACGGAAAATAAATGATTTGGAAAACATTTTCCTAAAAACGATTTCTTGTATCGCCTGAAATAATTAGCCAATAGAAAATGTTTTTATTATCGATAACAAATTTCATTAATGATGAAAATATTTTTCACCCATTCATTTCTGTAAATGATACAAGAGATCGTTTTTTGGAAGATATTTTCCACATCATTTATTTTCCGCGAAACAAACTGTAACGCCCCCACCTCGGGATCATAAACGTGACGTCCCGTTCATTGTTATCTTTTTAACAAGCGCAAGCGAAAATGTAAACTCGGGACAAGCACATTCAGAACAACAGTGAAATTTAGACAAATAGCATCATGAGCAAATCTTATGTTTACAGTGCATGCAAACATATTTTAACAAGCCCTTCAGGCCATGGCAAACAACACATATTTCACATGCATATTCTAGAGGCTCATTTGTTCCTAGCCGACTATGAATAGAAAACTTGGCTTGGGTAATCCTATCCCCTCTACTTCATCTTCTCGCTTTTAACTCCATCCATGTCTCCTCCCCGCTTCCCGTCCGTATGGCCGATCTACACCCCACCTGTGGCATGCCCCGGAGCCGGCCCGCCTACACCGCCAAAAGGTCCATTGAACCCACGTAGGGGTCCAACCCATTCTCCGTCAGTGTAGCCATGCCATGCTACGTACGGGTGAGGCACCAAGTCCGTTAGGCCCTTATCGACCATCACATACGTTGTGATCCGATGGTAGGTTCGGCCTTCTCGGGCATTTATTACGGTGAGCACTTCGGCTCTCATTTGCATGGGGTTGCTTAACCGGGTCGAGGGAGACGCCATTCTTCGGACCTGAAAAGGAAACAACAGGGGATGAGTCGGGGAGACTCAGCAAGTAAACCTACTAATATCAAGCGAGGACGAGGGGATCACCGTTAGCACAAGTCGGTCCTTACCGCACCCGCATCGATGGTAGATCAATAGCAAAGTTCATACACGAAAACATCAAGCATGGCTATAACATGTGCACCTTGCCATTCAAGTCTCGGTTCTATCTCCAAAACAAACGTCAAACACGAAACATGATTAAATCGAGAAATGAACCAACTACAACCAACCAAACGACCGAGAAACGGTCCAAGCAAACCGTGTCACAACGTATCACAACTTCCTTTCCCGATATTAGGAAGTTTACTTACTCAACGACTAACAAAACTAGAGAACGAGTTAGAGACGGGTGAGCTCGGGTGATCTTCGGGCTTTCTCCTTGCTTGGCCGACTAATACGAGGCACACAAAGGCCAAATCGTGAGCTCTTGGGTGGAAACAAAGAGAAACACGGGCCGGTTTGGGACTTCTAGGGCGTGAGGCTTCTCGGGCCAAAACGTGAGAAAATCAAGAAACAAAAGGGAGAGGAAGATGGTGGATGGTGTTGGCGTGAGAATGGCGTGAGAATGAAGAGAGAGAGATGGCCGTGTGTGTGAAAAAGGGGGGGGGGGGGGGCTTCTCCTATTTATAAGACTCCAAACTTGCTCCTCACTCAAGACTATTAATATTAGTCATGATGATGGTGCCTCAAAGTCCAAGCTAATTAATGATATTCATGATGATGGGGGCCTCAAAGTCCAATTTCCATTAAGGCTTGTCATGATGAGAGTGACCTAGAAAAATCTAACCACAATTGGCTTCTAGATCTCTCTCTCTCTCTCTCTCTCTCTCTCTCTCTCTCTCTCTCTCTCTCTCTCGGCTAATCTCTTAAGCGG